CGGCAGCAGAGGGAGGAAGAGGATGGAGGGTCCTTCACCTCAAGCTGAGCCGGTTATTGGCCCGACGAAAGCTCCGCATCGAGCTGAGCAGAACAAAACGAAGCGGAGGTGTAGGAGGGGAAGGTCAGAGATGCAGGCGGGGGGGCTCTAGTTGGCTTTTTTTGTATTTCAAAGTAATAATTTCCATTGAGATCGTCTCATAATTGCAGCTGCTCCAGTTTCAAAGTGATGTATTGGTAGTTCGCTGGTGAAGATTCTCAGTCGTCCAGGAAATGGTAAAATCAAAAAAAGTTCAAGACAAAGGGTTTTATTTTGTAACTGAAGACATTTCTCTTCTCATCCCAGGAGCTTTCTGAATTCAAAGAGAGTGTGGGGTTCGAGATCTGAAGCTGAAGTGTTGTGTATTCAGATTGCACGGACACCCCCTCACAGTCGGGGTTCGTTAAGGTCTTGGTGGTTGAAACACAGATCTGCTCAGTCATGAGTTTGTGCTGATGCTTTGATGGAGTGAGGCTGCCACTCCGCCGTGACACCGATGTGAATTCATGTGACTTTAATACCAACCAGCCAGGACCTTCTCTGCATCCTTTTCCAGCTCTGTGGAGTTCATCGAAAGCTGTTGAACCTAGTCAAATAGGGGCTGCGTCCCCATTTTAATTTTTATTATTTGCAATCCTAAGGCATTCTTTGGAGCGGCTGTGGCTGAGTGTTTAGAGCAGTTGACCTCCGATGCAAGATTTGGGGGTTCGATTCCACCAGCAGTCACATGCCGAAGTGTCCCTGGGCAAGACACTGAACCCCTCATTGCCTCCAATGTTTGTCTCATTGGTGCATGAATGTGATAGAGCTCTGATTATTCTTTGTATAGATCTAGTATAGAGCTGTATAAATGGGTAAATAAGGACTTAGATTGTAGTAAGAGCTTTGAGTATCTTGATCAGATATGAAGGTGCTATATAAGTACAGTACATTTACCATTTACCTGTCGAGCTCGGTGCGAAGGCTCGGCAGCCAACCACAGGTCTCTCTTGTAAATGAGTCCTTGAGGCTCAATGAGACTAACCTGTATAAATGAAGGTTGTATGAATACAAGATTTTATCAGAGCACTGTCTTTCTGGGGTTTCTCTGAAATCCAGAGCAGCTTTTTCCCATTTTGACTTTTCCGGTGACGCTCTCATCCACGCCGTCTGGAAGGCGGAGACATTCGGCGCAAGACGACACTCCTCTCGCCCTGTTTAACAAAACCATTCAGGAATGGATAATCTTGGAACAAAGTTTGGAGAACAGAAGAGCTTTAGCGTTCATGGCCAAGTCAAAGTGATCATTAACGCTGTTTAATCACGATGGGGATATTTCTGCCCGCAGCTCATTCAGAGACGTGTCCCAAAGCCTAAAGGACCTGGACGAGGTTTTGAACGTCCTGATGCCTTCCAGCTTTTCATTCCTAGTTCTTCGAGAGGTTTTGAAAAGAACCGGCGCTGTTCTCCGTTTCTTGAGAGAAGGGTTCTGCTCTCTGAGGCTGTTTTAGGGGGTGTAGGGTTGCACGAGCATGCTGAGATGGAGGTCGGAGGATGTGAAACACATTAGTTACTAATTAATTGATTACTTTCATTCCCTGGTTTTTATTTAATTTCTCTGCCATCGCTTGCATGCAGTCAGGTTGAGTTACAAGACGAAAGTCCAAACCACGATAAAGATACTGAGTTTTAGAAAGTATAGTAGTGACTTCTTAACCCTTGATGGCTTTATATACATTTGTGGTATTGGTAAGTCAATTAAGTGTTGGTAAAGACTGCTGTAGGTTGAATTTAATTTTATTTGAATTCATACACCCAGCTCCGATGTGTGGAAAGCTGCTCTCAGAATGTCTAAGGTTTTCAGGTTCCAAGGTTGGCTCGGGCGCACTCCCACTCTCGGCGCTCATCTATTATTTACAGTGCGACGGCACGCACAGACCCAGAAATAAGCGCTCGCCGCACTTTGTTTTTATATGCCTGAGCTGCTGTCGGAACACTGTGAACTCCGAGGCGACGACGGCAGTCCTGACCTCTGACCCCTACCCCCACTCAGCCTGGTTTTCAGACGCAGCAGCGCTAACCCTCGGCTCGCTCTCGGTTGCAGGTGGGCGGGGGTCATGAGGGCACCGGAGGCCCCGCTCGCTGTGCAGAGCAGCTGAAGCAGACATGGGCAGAGACGTCTCGGGTAGCACCGGCAGGCCCCGCCTCATCGACGTCAACGGCCGCGACCACCACCGCTGGCTCCAACACAAGTAGGTGTCCTCGTTTGTTTCGCCCCTCCGACACCAGGCAGAGGAATCTAAATGTTCCCGTGCAGTTCTTCAAACGGACAGTCCGTGGCGCTAATTCCCAACTCAGAGATGACGTAACTGGAAAAAGACCTATCGGGTATTAAAAAACACATTTCCATTTGATCTTTTTTGTCTAATAATGGTAAAGACCTACCTGTTGGACTTTTCCAGTTACTGGTCCACTGCTTTATGTCTATTCTTTGACGTCGTCACATTAACGCGTTTATGAACGGTGTGATAGTTTCGTGAACATTTACATTATAATCCCATCATAATGAACTATGATGTCAGAAACGAGATTCTGGGACTCTTAGAGAAGTTCATTCATGTAATTTAAAAAAATAATAATAATTTCAGGAGGTTTTGTGTTAAAAATGCACCCCGACTGGAAAAGCCTCGATTAGGAAATGCAAAGGTTTGATCCTACTTTTTCAATAGTGACGACTCCAAAAGTTAAATCCCTGGGAGTTTCATTAAGATCCAGTCACTAGTTCATGTAATATTTTGCTAACAGACAAACACAGAGACCGTTATTCACCCTCCATGGTGGCAGGTGGTGTAAAAAACAAAAGTAAGCAGAAATTACCGTAATTACTGCACTATAAGCTGCTACTTTTTCACACACTTTGAACCCCGCGGTTTATAAAATGCTACAGCTAATTTGTGTTGTTTTGTTTGACGGGCTAACGAGCTTCCTGCCGTCAAAACATTTAGCTTCGTCACACCCGTGCACTCGTATAGCTGCCCAGTACGTCTCTTGAGGGGCGGGTCCTCGTGACTCGATGAGACTACCTGTATAAATTAAGGTAAAAGCTCAAATGTGACCAGTGAAATTAGCGAACAGGTCACAGTTTGAATTACCGTAAATGAAATGCACGCTCACTGAATTCTTCTGGTGACTTATTTTGCACTTGAACTTGAAGGCGATCGATCTGGCTGTCGAAGAAGGAACTATTGCTGCTGCACGTAAGCTAGGCGTTTCCTGATAGGCTACAGTATTTATTCATTTTTAACCAGCCTCGTCACAGGCACTGTTCAGAAAGAAGCTTTTACTGTGCGTTGTGTTTGTTACGGTGCTTATTTAATTACGTTTTTTTAAATCTTTGCGTAAATATCTCCTATTACAACGTTGACATCTGCGGCTTATAGACAAGTGCGGCCTATAAACGTACAAAATTAAATTTATTTACTTAGTGTGCGCTCAATAGTCCAGAAATTACAGTACTTTGGTTGAAGCGCCGGTTAATTTTCTATGGAAATACAGCAGCAGATACTCGTGTAGGGTCAAACTGAAGGTCCGCGGGCCAAACGTGGCCCTTGTAAACGTTTTTTCTGGCCCCGAACATTAGTTTTAAACGTACTAACTGAAACTTTTCATTTCCCGTTGTGAAGGGACCCTAAACCTATACGCATATATTTAATTTCTTCTTAATGTTTGAATCGTTTCCAGAGTAGAAAACATCCACACCTTAAAAACTGAGCATACTCAGTGCAGACTTCTCACGACCGCCCACTTAAAGCCAAGAAAAATACGTTGGACGTTCACGGTAATCTTTGAGTTTAACGTGGAAGAACAGAGAAAAGTCCAGTAAGAGCAATCGAAGTCCTCTAGCCAAGAAAAGTTACCAGGTATGTGTCGTGACTCATTGTGAGTCTGCTTTAATTACCAGGGATGCACGATATTATCGGCCGATATTGGCCATAAAGTTAAATATCGGCCAATCCAACAAAATTATTCACAGATATTAAAGGCGCTCATGAGTTTAGATTTGTGGAAATTTACAAACTGGCGCTGTTCGAGTGTTGTCCTTGTGTTGGAGAGAGTAAATGTTGTGAATAAACTCTGACGTTAAACATAATCCAAGTTGAAGTGTTGCATCATTGTCAGCCCCTTCTTGTCATCTACATCTGGTAGCTGCCAAATTAACAAATACCTTGCAGAATAATATTTTAATTCCACAGCAGAGAGAGCTATGTAGTCTCTGTAAGAAGGTCTAGGGGAAAAATGTCTGTATTGGTATCGGTTATCAGCCAAATAAGTTTTAACATATCGGATATCGACCAAATATTTCTCCTTAGAGAACTTTACTAACTGGCTTTTATGTGAATGTTCCTGTAAAGTCCCCGAGACAACTTTGTTGTGATTTGGTGCTTTATAAATAAACTGAATTGAATTGAATTGAATTGAAATATTCAATATCGTGCATCCCTATTAATTACGTTTTTCTGTATTCTCGTATGTGTCAAATGTATTTGTAGTGTTTTCTTTCTTTGTAATGATTTAACGGGTTGTGCTACAGTGACGGCGCAAGAAATAATTGTTTTTTCCAGGTCTAAAGTTTCTTTGCTCTTTAAGTTATGTGTCTAAACTACATAAAGTTTGATTGAGGATCATTTGTATTTGTGTGTAAAATGATTTGACTTGCTACATAAAGAGTAATTTGAGTATTTTTCAATAAACGTTGACGGAGGTCGGCCCTTGCCTTGAACCAAGTATTTTTTAGTATCGATGAGTTTGACACCTCTGGTCCAACATGTCATTACAAAGTTACCAGAGCAATAAATGTGAACAGTCATGTCGAAGGAAATGATGGCGAAGTCTCGTTGGAGAGCCGTTTGCCGCTCTCTGTTCTTAATGTAGCGCCAAGGACCAAATGATGATCCGTATTACTTGTGCAGTCACAGCATCAGGGATTCTGAACAGGCTCCGCATCGCAATTACTTCAGCCGCGAGAGGCGACACGGTGAGATACATCAAAGTCCCGGAGCCAAATTTCTTGTAATGCTCCCGTGATAAAAATGTGTTTGGAAGAATGAAGTACTCGACGAGGGGCACCCTGGTTATCCATCACCAGCCCGGCTCGAACGTTTCCGTCCAGGATTGCACATTTTCAACAGACCGGCTCGAGAGACTTCACTCGTCAAAATGTCAGCAGCAGACTCTAAATATTCAAAGACGTGCGCGGCTCTCTGGAGTATTAAGCTGTTTTGCTTCAAGAATAAAAAAGGGGGGGCCAACGTCGCTGTTGTCAAACCATCTGACAGCCCATTGAATTTCAGCGTCTGACTCTCAAGTGCTCTGGCAAAATTGAGCTAACCTCTTAGCCTCTAAACGGAGATGGAGACGCCTGGAGAGCCGTGGCCCCTTGGTGAAAGTCAACGACGCGGATGTAGCGGGGATTGCGTGGCACCGTTTAAAAGACGCAGCCGCCTGCTTGCTGCCTCAGCTCTTTCGGGGACAGATGAAGCGTTCAAGTGTTACCAACCACTTTGCAGCTCAGTGATCTAATGAGACAATTGGCTCTGATCACCGACACCCTAACGGTTTGAGGCTCCGCTGATTGGGTGGACCCCACACAGCCGGTCACACCAAGCGCAGATTAAGTGCGGATCCAGTTTCTGATGTGCAAAGTGAATTTCAAAAGCCCCCATTTCTAATTAACCTATTACTCATCGCTCTCATGTACCAGATGTCTGCCCTCCCTTTTTGTGCATCTGTGTGCTGCATGTCGCTCCACATGGGGGCCCCGCTTAATAAGAGCCGATCAGCGGGACAAACTCACACCGGGACTTGAACAAAAAGAGGTTGTGGAGTTACACAGACGTGCCCTGCAACACGTCTGCTTCTGCTCCGTAATCTGCAACCACAAAGTGTTTAAAAGATAATCTAGAGCGCCACGTGACTCCCTGGGCAGTATTTGAGCCAGAAACATTACATTAACCGCCATACTGGGTCGTCTTTGAACCAAATGTGCCAGTGGTACTTGTACAAACTACACACCTTGTGAGGTCAACAGAGGACATTTCCCCAGAGTGTTACTGAGATACACATTTAGCTGGTTGGAGAAAACTGAGTCTACAAGATCTCATTGTATGGGAGGTGTGTTGTTGTATTTTGGAATCCAAATACCAGAAAATTGGGATGAGCCACATACTGGTCACTTATTATTTTTTTAATTTTACCCCATCCACTTCTTCAAATGACTCACACGCTCATAGAAAATGCCAAAAATACAGCCGCTCACGTCCATTGAAACACCTTTATTTTACACTTTACTCATCTCCATCCATCATTATCTTCCACTTCTTCCGAAGTCACGTCGTGGGGCAGCAGTTTGAGCGGGGAGGAACAGACATCTCTTTCCACAGCCACCTTTTCCAGATCTTTTGGGAGGACTCCAAGGTGTTCCCAGGCCAACCGAGAGACGTGGTCTCTCCAGCGTGTCCTGGGTCTCCCTGGGATCTCCTCCCAGTCGGACATGCCTGAAGCACCTCCCTACGGAGGCGCCCAGGAAGCATCCTTACCAGATGCCCGAACCACCTCAACTGGCTCCTTTCGATGTGAAGAAGCAGCGGTTCTAGTCTGTCTCTCCCCCATGACTGAACTTCTCACCCTATCACAGCGTAGCGAAGAAACTCATTTCAACCTCCTGTATCCACGACCTAATTCCTTCGGTCACTACCCAAAGTTCCTGGCCATAAGTGATGGCAGGAACGTAGACCAACCAGTAAACGGAGAGCTTTGCCTTACAGCTCTGCTCCGTCTTCATCACAATGGACCGGCACAGAGTCTGCAATACTGCAGATGCTGCACCAATCCGTCTGTCGAGCTCACGCTCCATTCTTCCCTCACTTTTGAACAAAACTCTGAGATACTTGAACTCCTCCACTTGAGGCAGAACCTCACCCTCGACCCAACGAGAGCAATCCACTCTTCTGACCGAGGACCAGTTTACTCATACAATTCTAATTTATATAGCTCAAAAAGTGCAAGTACTGGTTAACTGGTTCTGGCATTGCTCAAAAATAAATTGCACTAATGGTAATTTTGTAAAATAATTTTGAACACAACTAAATCCAAAACATTGCTAAAATAAAAGGTGTTTCTGATACGGGTTTTACTTCGTTACATTCCGCTCCGCTAAGGCTAATGAAAGCCATAATTTGAACTTTGTCATCTTTTTCAGATGAGAACGCAACAATGACAGAAACAAATGTGCAGCTACAAAAGTTGGATATTTTGAACATTTAGAAACCTGCCAGCCAGTGCATCCCTTTTGCTGGTCCCAAGCTCGGGTACATGTTGAGGGTTGTGTCAGGAAGGGCATCCGTTGTAAAACACTACCCCAAACACGTAAACGCCAAAACTATAATGCCAGTTCATCAAAGCGAAGTTTACAAGACGGTGGTGAGAGCAGCTATGTTGTATGTTCTGGAGACAGAGACATGGACAAAAAGACAGGAGACAGAACTGGAAGTAGCAGAAATGAAGATGTTGAGGTTCTCCTTAGGAGAGACGAGGATGGAGAAGATCAGGAATGAGATGATCAGAGGTACAGCACAGGTTGAACAACTGGGAGATAAAGTTAGAGAGGACACACTGAGATGGTTTGGACATGTCACTGGTTAGTCGTCATATTTATTATCTGCATCGTTTTTATGTCTATATTCTGATTTACTTCATTTTGTATATTTCTTTGTGTGATACCTGTTGTTCTGTCTGTACAGCACTTTGGTTGACCGTGTCGCTGTTTTAAGTGCTCTATAAATAAAATGGTATGGTGTGTCCAGAGGAGGGACAGTGGTTTGGACATGTCCAGAGGAGGGACAGTGGGTATATTGGTAGAAGGATGTTAGAAATGAAAAAGACAGAGGAAAGCCAAAGAAGATGTATATGGCTGCAGTTAGAGAGGATGTGGAGTTAGTTGGAGTGAAGACGGAGGATGCAGAGGACGGAGTGAGAGGGAGGAAGATGACTTCCTGTGGTGACCCCTGAAGAGGGAAAACCCAAAAGAGAAAGAAGAAGAATAATTAATTGCCCGTACCTACCATTAACCACAATAATGACGTTTGGGGGGCGTTAATTGGTCTCAACTTGCCGCTCTACTTGGGTCGACCTTGCACAGGTTCAGAAGCTTGCCATTGGGTGATTAACCGGCTTCCCGCTCGGTTCTTGGAACCTACCTGACGGAGGTTCCAGGCGAGCTGTATCGAGCCCATGATTTTATCTCAGCAGGACATTAATTGGTTATAGAGCCACATGACCGGATGAGTCCTGGCAAAGACTCACAACAGTCATCGTCATCCACCATTTTCTACAACCACACCAGTTTGCTTTTATCCTTTTTTTTTGTTGTAACCTAAGCTCTCTTGGCTCACTTAACTTGTGTGTGACTAACCTTAGATGGAGCACATAGCGTACGATCATCTCAATATCCTCCATTGTTGGGGGTCCATCAGAAGAGCGTTGAACAGCCTTGCTACGACGATCCTGCCCACGTTGAAGCGATGGTCAGTTGAATGGAAAACGAGCCCTGTCCACATGAGAACGGTGTTTGTGAATATTCAGAACATTGTTGATTGTTTCAGCCTTTGGAAAAAAAAATCTTGAAATGCACCCAGCTTGCAAACTCACCCTTGCTCTGAATTGTGTTTCCAGTTTTCGGCGTATTTTCGTGGCAGCGCTACAGTGCCGCAGGCTTGGCTCAATCAGTACAGCGTTTTGGGTTGTTTAAGGCGCTTCTGTGTAGATTAGGACATTTTTAAAAAGGTTTGTTTGTTTAAGATGTTCCTAAAACAAAAAATATCGTTTTGGAAACAACAAAGTTTTAGAACCTGTGTTTAAAAGTTTCCAAAAGCGACGTTGTTCTAGGAAAGTCTAGCCAATCGAAGAACATTCTTTCTCTGCATTTGAAATGTCGTTAATGTGAACGTTGGCGCCACCTACAGGCCTGGAATGGCTCTTTCAGCATTTGTTTAAAATCCTACAAGACATCTGGACAGAAGAAGAAGCTTATTTGGAAACGTGTCCAGAGTAGTGTAGGCAGGGCCTGCATCTATTCTCTGAGACAAAGTGCCCCCTGCCGTGCACTGAACAGCTGCAAAGCTGCGAGCCTCTTCATGGAAAACGTGACGGACGGCCACTTTCTACAGCACGAACCTTTGTCATCTCGAAACTTCTTGCTCGCCTCACGCAGGCGGCACTAATTCATGTGAATTCCATTCAGACAAAGTCATTAATAATCTCGGGATCACTGTTTTCATCCTGCCATGAAAACTCAGGCCGCCCGTCGCAGTGGAGATATCTCGTATCCAAGTTGGAGAACTGTAGCTCGTTCCTTGTGAAGATATTATCCACAAGGGCGTCAGAACCACTCATCTCTGCTGAAAGAACTCCCGGAGCCAAGATGTGAACCACAGTTTTAATGGAAAACGGTTTATTTTGCTGTGTGCTTGATTTAATGTACGCAAGGACGTTTAAAGACCGCGGTGACTGCATCAAACTCAGTTACTTGTTCGTCGTCGATAGTCTAACCCGTAGTAACGCCACTTTTCTGCTAAGTACGGTATACGTTCTCAATTTAGATCGGCATCAACGGGCATTTTTAACACTTTTTATGATTCAGTTTGCTAAAACAAACTAATTATTGCTAAAGTTATCCATTTAATTCTTGTAGAGCTAAAATAAATTTAAATTAGCTCTTTTTAAGTACTGTATTTTCCGGTGGACGTGTCGCACCGCCCTATAAGTCTCATCAGTCCATATTTGTCTAAAAAAGTTGAAAAATCCATAAATACGTTGCATCCATTATGCGTCACCACCGACGACCCGGAAATGTGGACCGGTGTTGTGCCAAAAACCAATGGGCTGCCAAATGGTGGCCGCGGGAGCGTGCACGGGAGGACTCTAACAAGATTAACACTTAAAGACAATTATTTGTTTGCTCGAAATTATAGCAAAGGTGTGTCTCAGTCTAACGTTTGCTTAATAAATGCACTTTAATGGTCAAATCATCCGTATTTCGCCGGGCGGTCCAGTTGTTTTGACGGTTCCAAGCAGAGAGCAGAATGAAGGTGGGGAGGCTACGGCAGGACGATTGAGTCATTAATAGCTGGTGACGATTCTCGGTCATCCAGGACATGGTAAATTCTAAAGTTCAAGAAAAAAACAATAACGTATAAAGTATAATAAATAAAGTCCAGTTGTTTTTGTCTTGAACTTTTTTGAATTTGTCATTATAGCCACGTTTACCTATTACATGATACAACAGCATGCCATACAACATTACTACTCTGCTGCCATCAAGTGGCTGAACGTGGTACTGCTCTTTTTTTTCTCAGATATAATGAATGAAAACGGTCATATCTCAGCCAAATAAACGGTTTATAAATATGGGAATCCATAAATAAGTCGCTTCAACCGATAAGTCGCATGTAAATTATGCAAAAAACTGCTACTTATTGGCCAAAAAATACGGTAGTATTTTTATATTTATAGTTTAGAAAATAAAGTTTAAGTTGCACTGCTATTTTATTTCATCAGAAATTTGATTTCTGTTCATTGAGTGTTTTATCTTTGGTTGACATCTTTGTTCTTTTCTTGCAAACATTCTACGTTTTATTTCAAGTTGAACAGATGTAGTGGAGCAGACGTGGGCGACATCGCCCGAGGGCTGAAAGTGGCCCTTAGACGATCTCCGTCTGGCCCCTCAGTCTCTTAACTGAAAATTAAACCACTTTCAAACAAGAAAAAAGTGTCAGAAAAGGCTAAATGTTTCAAACAGCTAAAGCTGCACCAACACCAAAAGTCAAAGCAGGATTGTCCTGGAAGAGCCGAACGTTTTGGTTCAGGATTTGTTGAAATAGAACAAAAGTTGTGGAACGAGAAAGATGCAGAAAAATGTACGGAAGAGAAACGGAGCACGATTGTGTGAACGCTTCAACATTCACATAAATAAAATCCTGTTTATTGAGCAGGTGTCTCCAGTTCTGATACTCAGGTATATGAAGCTGCAGGACAAAGACTTGCCTGAACCGTCGTGTCTTGGCCCAAACACATGACGTAGGCCTCGTCACAGACCATAATCCTACAGACACGTGCAAGGCAGCTACTTTTAAATTTGTTTTAAAGAAAATGGAGACGCGCAATATTATCGGTATCTGCCGATATCGGCGATAAAGTTAAATATCGGACATTCCGTCAAAACAACTCACCGATATAAAAAGCTTCTGTTTTAAGTTAACTTTGAATTTAAGAAACTGTCAAGTATATCGATTAACGCACTTTTCACTTGTTGCTTGTGACCCTAACCCTAACCTTAACCCAGGTTGAGTTGAGATTTGTGAAAATTGACAAACTTGCACTGTTCGAGTGTCGTCGTCGTTTTAGAGTAAATGTTGTGAATAAATTTGATATTAAACGTAATCCAAGTTGAAGTGTTGCATCATTTTCAGACCCTTTTTGTCTTCTGCATCTGGAAGCAGCCGCATTAACAAAGACCTGCAGAATAATGTGGTGTTTTAATTCCACAGCAGAGAAAGCTCTGTAGTCTCTGTACGGAGGTCTAAGGGGAAGTATCGGTATCGGTTATCGGCCATATGTTTTAACATATCGGCATATCGGATATCATCCAGAAATCCAGTATCGTGCATCTTTAGAAACCCAACCTTTATTCCAGCATGACTTTCTGTCTTTTAGGTTCTCTGTGTTTGCCAACATCTCCCTGTAAGACTTTGCGATGAGAATGTCCGACATCGCGGGCACTGAAGCGATGAAGGTTTCCGAGGCCGCAGACACCGCGTCGCCTGCGAACGACAACGCCACCAAGTCTGAGCCCTACGACAAGAGCCAGAGCAGCAGAGAGGAGCACGGCAGCAACAGTATGAAGGACATGCAGGTAAATAATGAGTCGGTAAGACCTCCGTCATACGACCAGTGTCTCGTAGAAATACGAGAAGAACAAAGAGCTCGTTTTGAAAGAGGCCGTCACTTTGAGAACGTCTCCCAAGCTGACCACCTCGCCAAACACTAGACTCCTTCTTTGCACTCATTTCCATGAAAATTCAGTAAATGTCAACGTCAAGACGCCCACTACCCTGGGGATCTCCTGTCACCTGCGGCATTCAAGATGATTCCTGCTGGCAGCCTCTGCAAGGAGACTTGTTTTTGAAGATTGGAGTGTGCACAGCCTGAAATAATAACGAGGACCTTGACTGTGCTTGGTTCCGACGTGGGTCCAAGTGGCGTTCGCTGCCGAGAACCCTTCAGAAATATCAAAAGTTACGTGGAAGACCGTACCTGCTGGGGATTCAGAACACCTTTTAGTTGAACTGCTAATGAATCAGGTGGTTGTCACTGGAACTTTGGGATTTCATGACATTTGCACTTGTTAATTTGGTTTCCCAGTTTAAAACCAGTGTCGACTGGTTTGTACTCGCAAAGGAATGAACAGCAAAGCGAAATGCTCTAAAATCCCAAAGTTTGGTCGTAAAACCACAAACCAGTGAAAGACGGCGTGATCGTCTCTTCGGCTGAAGCTTAAAAATAGGATTGGGGCCAATCTGGCCGTGTGGCAGAGGGAGCGAGGGAGTCGGGCAGGCAGATAATCGGGGCTCAAGTCTTGGCTTCTCTTCCGACTTCCTGCGTCTGTGTTGCCCCGTGGAACAGAATGACACCAGCATGGGGGGAGCAGCAGGGAGAGCGCAGGAGGTGGAGGAGAGGCAGATGGGCAGGGAGGTGGGAAGGAGGAGGGGTGGAACTTGAAAAGGAACATGAAGCGTTGAAGTGTAAATACAAAAAGATTTTAAAAAAGCTAATCTGGTACATTTGGAGGTGACTTTTGGTATTTTAGGAAAAAACTACCGTACCAGACATCTACATAATTCATACCTTTTAGTTATCTGTCTTCCTTATTAGAATAATTTGTCTGTTTTTCTGTTCTTCATTTTGATGCAGAAAATGACGCATTTGTTGTTTTCACATAATTCGATTTGTCGTTAAACCAAACAAAATACGGCAAATGGTTCTCCAGTCGCCACGGAGCTTTGATGGCAGGGGGGCTTCTTTCCATCGCACCACCAGCCAAAAACACTGACCCTGCGTTTGTTTTCGCCAGCGTTGCCATTTTATTTTGAAAATGTATAACCGCAAATAAAACTAACCCTTAATTTAATTCTTGAATACTTGAAAATAAATATTCTCCAGTGTATTTTGAAATGGGACAGAATGGATATGGGCACCAGTGACCCCAAAACCCAAAAAGGAAGAAGTGGCGAGGGAGGGAGGGAGGGAGGGAGGGAGGGAGGGAGGGAGGGAGGGA